CTGAATACCTAAATGCAATGATGTAAAAGCTTTAATTAAGGACAAATATTAGTCTGCTAAATGGCCACTCCAGGCTTCCTCATTTTACCTGGAGGCATTTATCAGACAGGTCGAGGGCCCAGGCTACCAGACTATTATATACTGGGCTTGAGGCCAATGTTCCCTCTAAGCTGTGGAGTCTTGTGAGCAAAATTTCTACTTTGTGAGCTACTGGCATTAAAGTTGTGAGCGAGCCATTTGGCAGCCGCATCCATTAGTTTGCTCCGGAGCCCTTCTTCCCGAGCTAAGAAAAAAATGTGTGAGCCAGAGGCTAAAAAACTGTGAGCTGGCTCACACTAACTCAGCTTAGAGGGAACACTGCTGGAGGCAGCTTTTCTCAAAAGTGATTCCTTTATTCAGCTCAGAACACAACAACCAACACATAGAACAATCCCAACTTATATACAATTTAGAACTAGCTAAACCACACCCCTAGAATACTAAGGTCCAATCGTGAATGAGTGCTTAAGACCAACAGGTTTGTTCGCGCCAAAAGTCATAGTCTTTCTTGATTGGTCCGTTCCACAACATCAGCCAATCAGATTGTTGATTTTAGGATACTGAGAGTCTGTGAAGCTTGTGACTGAAGCTCAGGCTCATTCTCCATTCAGGTTATCTACATAAGGTAATACATAACACAGACCTTTGTGAGAATTCTCCCCCTAGCTCAGTGATGGCGAACCATTTAGAGACCAAGTGCCCAAACGGCGACCCAAAACCCACTTATTGATCGCAAAGTGCCAACACGGCAATTTAACCCGAATACTGAGGTTTTACTTTAGAAAAAACCACTCATACATTAACGTTAGATGATCCAAACAAAGTAAGGCAAGCCATCCCAAATGCTTTCATTTCCTTAACATTATTTGGCAGAGAATGCGACACTTTAATGATGGTCTGGGCCTGGCTGGGGCGATGGCAGGCGTGCCCGCAGAGAGGGCTCTGAGTGCCACCTCTGGCACCCGTGCCATAGGTTCGCCACCACTGCCCTAGCTGAATTGTGTGTGTGTAAAGAGCCGTCAAGTTGCAGCCAACTTATGCCAACCCCAGCAAGGGGCTTTCAAGGCAGGTGAGAAGTAGAGGTGGCGGGCCACGGCTTGCCTCTGCAGAGCCTTCCTTGGTGGTTCCCTTCCAAGTGTTGACCCTGCTCATCTTCCGAGATCTGATGAAACTGGGCTATTCCAGGCTGCCTTCCCCCCCCCCCCCCAGCTTAATTGCCCCACCAATAAAAGGAGAAAACCTGTTCTTAAGTTCTTTTTCTTTTCTGCCTTTTCCACTAACAATTACCGGAGAACGTCAAGAATTTGGACCTCCTATTAACTAGCCATTTTTTTAAGGTAGTTTAGAGGGGGACATTCTCGTAAAATAGTTGTACATGCGCTCTCTCTCCAGCTTTGACACTCATCTACATTAAACATGTGCATAGTTCCCAATAGGGTTGCCAGCCTCCAGGTGGTGGCTGGAGTTCTTCTGCTATTACCACTGATCTCCAGTCGACAGAGAGGAATTCACCTGAGGAAAATGGCTGCTTTGGGGGGTGGACTCTGTGGCAATTTTCCCCAGTGAAGTCCCTCCTGTCCCTGAACCCCAGCCTCCGCAGGCTCCACCCCCCCCCCAATCCCCAAGTATGTCCCAACCCGGAGCCGGCAACCCTAGTTCCAAAGTCTTTACTGAAAAGCATATATCCGGGAAGGGTTTCCTTAAATCCCTTTGAATTCCCTGGTTTAGTGTAAACCACAAGGAGCGAATTCTGAGGTGCAGAAAAACCACACTGAGGCCCCGGTCACACGGGAGGTTTTGGCCCGGGAGAGGGACGGATCGGGGGCGCAGCAAACGGGCGCGAGCACACCGCAACATCTGGGAATCGGCTCGCACCCGTCCCCGATCCGTTCCTTCAGGCCAATAACGCGCTGTAAAAAAAACCCAACAGAAGAGGACTTACCAGGTACACTGCAGCAAGCGTGGCCGTGCGATCGCCGGTGCGCCCATCTTCTGGAGCAATCCAGGTTCCCAGCTAAACTGCGCATGCTCACACATGCACAGTTCAGCAGCCTCGGTCTCCCATAAGTGGCTTCCCCATGGCATCTCATCGTGCTGGGGAGGAGCTGCGCGGTGGCTCAGGGGATCTATGTGATCCCGCCGCCGCGTGTTTCTTTTGGTGCGGCTTTAAAAAGCCGCACTTCAACCGTACTCCCCCCCCCCCCCCCCGCACCGCGCGGGCGCGCGCGCATTCAATCTTTTTTTTTCCCCCCGTGTGGCAGAGGCCTGAATATACTAAGTAACTGGGCAAAGGAGGACATTAAATGAGGAAATCCATTCATTGTTTTCTCCCTAATTCTAAAGTTGCCCTTGAGGTAAATAAAGAAAGGCCTTTAAATTTGAAGTTAGTTGCTCTTTTACTTCATGGCTATAAGGTTGGGACAGTCTCGTTCCTTTGTTAGCCCAGGGTAGCCAACTTTGGGTTCGGAAATTCCTGGAGATTTGGGGGATGGCGCCTAGGGAAGGGGGGTTTGTGGAAGGGAGGGAACGCAGTGGCCTCCAAGGCAGCCATTTTCTTCAGGGGAACTGATCATGTAGCCCGGATATCAGTTGCAACTGTGTGAAATCTCCAGGGCCCACCTGGAGGTTGGCAACCATACCACCTGGACATCCTTTGCATGCACGTTCTCTCTCTCTCTCTCTCTCTCTCTCTCTCTCTCTCTCTCTCTCTCTCTCTTCCTTTCCTGAGAAGAGATTCTGACTTCTTTTGCTTCCCTTCAAATCCCGCCAGAGTAGCTAGCTTTACAAGAGCCACTTTGGTGTTGTGGTTAAGTGCGGGAAGGGGAAGGGAGAGGAGTTTGTAAGGCGCTCTGAGACTCCGAGTGAGGGGCGGGGTATAAATCCAATCTCTTCCTCCTCCTCTTCTCCTTCTCCTTCTTCTTCTCCTTCTTCTCCTTCTCCTCCTCCTCCTCTTCTCCTTCTCCTCCTCCTCTTCCTCCTCTGTCATCTTCATTGTGAGCGAAAGATCTGACCCAGGATTCAAGGTGTCGCCTGTGTGGGGACGGGGTGTGTGTGGGGACGGGGGTGGGTGGGAGGGGGTGGGGCCCTCCCTCTCTGGAGCTGGCCACCCTAGTCCTGTACTCCCCGGTAGGGCTGTCAACTTGGAGTTGGAAAATTCCTGGCGATTTGGAGGATGGAGCCTGGGAAGGGGAGGAGCTCCAAGCGGGGTCTGTTGCCATAGCGCCCACCCTCCCAAGCAGCCATTTGCTCCAGGGAAACGGATCTCTGCTGTCAGTAATTCCAGGGAATCTCCAGGCCCCACCTGAGGGTTGCCTGGTCCTCCTTGGCCACCGGCAGGGGATGGGGGTGTGTGCCAGGGTTGCTAGATCTGGGTTGGGAAACTCCTGGAGATTTGAGGATGGACCCTGGGGAGGACGGGGACCTCAGTGGGGTACGATGCCAGAGAGTCCACACACACACCATGGTTTGTAGCCATTTTTACCACAGAGTTTTGCCCAAAAGTAGAGCGCCGCCAATGCAATGACATCACTTCTGGAAGTGACATCATCACGTAGGCACCATTCCTGCCCACTCCCGGAATGTCCCCAAATCCCAACGCTGGCAGCAGGTAAGGACCTGGCAACCTGAGGCCAGAAGTCCCTTCTACCACCTCCCCCTGGTTACCCAGCTGTTGTCTTTCCTGGGCTGAAAAGATCTGGCCCCTGTGGCACATGCCCTGGCCACATCTAGATCAGATGACTGCAATGCACTCTAAATGGGACTGCCTTGAGAAGTGTTCAGAAATCGGTTGGTTCTGCAGTTGCCAGGTCCTCCCTGGCCACTGGTGGGATGTGGGGGAAGTTGGGTTGCCAGCTCCAGGCTGGGAAACTCCTGGAGATGTAGGGGTGGAGCCTGGGGAGGACAGGGACCCCAGTGGGGTACAGTGCCATTGATCAAGTCCACCCTCCCAAGCCGCCATTTTCTCCAGGAGAACTAATCTCTGTAGCCTGGAGAGGAGCTTTGATTCCGGGGGACCCCCAGGCCCCACCTGGAGGGCTGGCATTCTGAGTCGGTAAAGAATGCTGCAGCCTGAGCGTTGATTGGAGGGGATCCTAGGGGCCCGATCACGCCAGTCTGTGCCCATCCACAGTGGCTCCCAATTTGCTTACGGGCACAATTGAGCATGCTGGTACTGACCTTGAAAGCCCTATATGGTTTGGGACCAACATACCTGAAGGACTGCCTAGCCCCTTATGAAGCCCCCTGACCCCCATAGAGGCCCTGCTTTGGGTGGCACCTGGGGGAGGGGGCAGAGTTTAGGAAGGGGGCTCAGTGGGGATGAAGCTGCCATTTTCTCCAAGGGAACGGATCTCTCTCATCTGGAGATTGGGTGTAATTCTGGAAGGTCTCCAGGCCATACCTTGAGTTTGCCAACCCTCTTTCCCATCCACCATCCCAGCCACAAAGGAAGAAGAAGAAGAAGAGGAGGAGGAGGAGGAGGAGGAGGGGTGGGGCTGAGAGAGAAGAGAGGAGATTGGATTTATACCCCGCCCTTCACTACCCAAGGGAGTCTCCAAGCTGTTTACAAACTCCTTTCCCTCCCCCTCCCCACAAGAGACACCCTGTGAGGTAGGTGGGGCTGAGAGAACTCTGACACAAACTGCTCTTTTTCAGGGACAGCTGTGCCAGAGCTTGTGACTGACCCAAGGTCACATCAGCAGGTGCAAGTGGAGGAGTGGGGAATCAAACCCGGTTCTCCCAGATTAGAGTCCGCGCACTTAACCACGACACCAAACTGGCTCTCTGGAGGCCATTCATGCACAGGGTCACCGTAAGCTGGAAGCGACTTGATGGCATGTAGCGCACAAACACCCAGTGCAGCATACAATCTAATCCTGTCCCCGATAGACACACACACACACCGTCTCCTAAACACTGTCCATATCTTGTTAATACACTGCAGTGTCTCCTTATGTTAACAGCAGGGTGAAGATAAGAAGGGTCTAGAGAAGAGCCTGCACCCTCCTCCAGAGTCGCCTTACACAGCACCGGATCATTTGAAGTGTAACATTCTCAAAGCTCAAGTGGAGGCTGCCTTCCGAGTGGGTGTTCAGGTAGGTGTTCCGAGTGGGTCTTCCGCGTTAGTCTTTCCTCCCTTTCTAAACTGTCTTCTGTGCTTGGTTTGTGTGTGTGCGCGTCTGTCAACCGCTGCAACATCTAGCGGTGCCTTGCATGTAGGAATGGGCTATGAGGGAGGCAAACTAGAGCTGCCAGTCTCCATGGGAGAACGCCACACGACCACGATTGTGGAGAAAAAAGACTGGACTCTATGATATCATACCCAGGCTGAGGCCCCTCCCCTCCCCAAACCCCACCCTCCTGAGCCTCCACCTTTAAATCCTCCAGGTTTGGGATCAACATACTGAGTTAGGTGGGGCTGAGAGAGCTCTCTCGAGAACTGCCCTTGAGAGAACAGCTCTGAGAGAACTTATGACTGACCCAAGGTCACACCAGCAGCTGCACGTGGAGGAGTGGGAAATCAAACCTTGTTCTCCCAGATTAGAGTCTGCGCTCCTAACCACTACACACAAAACAAAAATCCCCCCTTTTCCTTGGCCTGTGATGCCAAGTGCTCTGGAATCAGCTGCTAGAGTCTCATTGGAACAGAGACCCACATGTAGTCTCTTTTAAGTTCAATGTGGCATCATGATTAGGGATGGAGGTTCCCAGCCTCACTTGCCAAGAGACTGGCCAGTCACCCTCTCAGCCTAGCCTACCCCTTAGGGTTGGTTTGAGCATAAACGGGAGGAGGGGAGAATCCGGTAGGCTGCTCTGAACTTCTTTTATTTATTTATTTATTTATTTATTTATTTATTTATTTATTTAAATATCTGAGCTCCCAGAGGAGATCCGAGCCCTGCGGGACCTTATGCAGTTCCGCAGGGCCTGCAAGACGGAGCTCTTCCGCCAGGCGTTCGAGTAGGAGCCACCGCCGCCACTATTCTACCACCGAGGTGGCAAGTCATCGGCTGCCCTATAAGAACAGGGGCAAGCGAGCCCTGGCAGAAGTTTGAGACAGTGTAGTCGGAGACCACGCTACTGAGACAGCTGGCCACCAAACCTGGGGGGGTTGTCCCCATCTTGGATGATTAATATGGGTATAGCACCGTATGATTGGAAGGTTTTATTGTGATTTTAAATGTTCTATTTATTATATACTGTATTGTATTTTGCACTTGGCTTTGCCGCATGTGGGAGCTGCGGTGGCTCAAGTGGTTAAGACGCTGAACTGCAGGCTGTGGAAGGTCAGTAGTTCAATGGTTCAAGACCTGGGTGCCGCAAGACAGGGTGAGCTCCTGTCTCTAGTTCCAGCTCCAGCCAACCCTGGCTCTTCGGCTTTGAAACGGAGATGAGCACCGCAACCCTAGAGTCGGATTCGACTGGCTTTCGAGCAAGGGAACCTTTACCTTTACCTTTTTTTGCCGCATGTGAGCCGCCCTGAGCCTTTGGGAGGGCGGGATATAAATCAAACTAATAAATAAATAAAATAAATAAAACTTCTTGGCAGAACGTTGTATCAAGATGTGCAGGCAACAGTGTTTTTAAAAAGACCTCTTAGGATGCAGAGCGCACAACATCCACCTGCCTGTAGACCAAGCAAAGTAGGTCAGATTCCTTCCTTTGTCCTCTTAGAAGCAGTCCTTGATTGTAAATGCATATTTATTTCATTAACTTATTTAAAACATTTACTTAAAATATGAGCAGTCAGTGTGATGCGGTGGCAAAAAAGGCAAATTCAGTCTTGGGTTGTATTAAAAGGGCCACAGCATCAAAATCGCAGGAGGTCATAGCCCCTCTGTGTACTGCCTTGGTCAGGCCGCACCTTGGAGTACTGTGTTCAGTTCTGGAGGCCTCACTTCAAAAAGGATGTGGACAGAATCGAGAGGGTGCAGAAGAGAGTGACAAGGAGGACCAGGGGTCTGGAGATTGAGCCCTACGAGGAAAGGCTGAGGGCCCTGGGAATGTTTAGTTTGAAGAAGAGGAGACTGAGGGGGGACACGATTGCTCCCTTTAAATATCTGAAAGGCTGTCATTTGGAGGAGGTTTAAATTACATGCAGAAAAGTATCGGCTGGATATTAGGAAACACTTTTTCACGGTCAGAGTGGTTCAAAGGTGGAATCAGCTGCCTAGGGAGGTGGTGAGCTCCCCTTCACTGACAGCTTTCAAGAAGAGGCTGGACGAATATTTGTCAGAGATGCTGTAGGCTGGTCCTGCATTGGGCAGGGGGTCGGACTAGATGGTCTGTAGGGCCCCTTCCAACTCTATGATTCTACAAGAAGGGGGACTTGTGATACTTGTGAGGGGGAAGCTCCACGCGGAGGAGTAGGAGGAAGCAGCCGCAGGTAAGCCTCCCCCTCTTCCCCCGCACCAACAGCGTGGCTCCCAGCCGTCGGGCCCACCAAACTTTCTCCCTCTCCTCCCTGCCGGCGGCAGTGAGGCCTGAGCAGCCAGCTGCCAAGATAGCAGGGGAACCGAAGCAGGGTCTCCAAAGATGACTGACGATGACCGGAGGTTCATAAGGGAGAAGGCTGCCAGAGGATGTAGTGATGGCCACAGGCATATACAACTTTAAAAGGGGATTAGATTCATGGAGGAGAGGTCTATCAGTGGCTACAAGCCATGATGACTGAGGGGAACCTCCACATTCAGAGGCACTAGTCCTCTGAATCCCAGAGCCAGGAGGCAACATCAGGGAAAGGCCTCTGCCTCTGTGCCCTGTGGTTGGCCCTCCAGAGGAACTGGTTGGCCACTGTGCGAGAGGCAGGATGCTGGACTAGAAGGACCATGGGGGTGATCCAGCAGGGCTCTTCTGAGGTCCTTATGTTCTTGAAGTGGTCCTTATGGTATGTGGGTTGTGGGCAATATGGAAGGAAGTGGTTTAGATTACCTGATCTGGGACCTCTTTCTAATGATCAGCTGGTTGGAGGCCAGATTTTTAGGAGTCCAGAGTCATTGAAACCTCAGTCCCTCCCTCTGCTTCTTTCCCCTTTTTCATAGTCTGCTTCCCTAGACGACATCATTCCCACATGGAGACAGGTGCTCAGAATGAAGGGAAACAATTTGCCAGAAAAGCAGCCTGTCACCTAATGACAGTTGCAAATAATGTAGGATGTATAGTGAAACAACATCAGTTATCACTATTGCAAAATTGTGAGATTATTTTGCTTTTAGTAGGAGTTGGATCTGTATTTTATGCCATTCTGTCCTCTGTTTCCTGGCCCAGGTTTCAGGTAAGTGGTGGGTAGCAATGTCAACACGTTAAGTAGAACTGGGACTTGCCTACTGAGACTTCTCACGGACAGACTTCAGGCCTTTCAGATTTCTGCAAAGTGGAAAGGGCCAGAGTGCAGTTTGTGTAGAAGGCCGGACAGTTCTTGGGCTCAACATCAGTGTATCTCTTTCATGAACAGGGAATGCTTCCAACATGGAGGGCTCTTCAGCATTCTCATTTTTGTCACCTGCGTGTCCCTCTTGCTTCATTCCGCTCCCCCTTTTCTGCCTGTGTTTTGCTCCCTCTAGTGGTCAATTCGATATTACAGTTCTGTACATCCAGCATATCTTCCTGCACTTTAAATTTGGAGGTATGACAGAAATAGTAAAGGTAAAGGTTTCCCTTGCTTGAAAGCCAGTTGAATCCGACTCTAGGGTTGCGGTGCTCATCTCCGTCTCCAAGCCAAAGAGCCAGTGTTGTCTGGAGACTTCTCCGTGGTCATGTGGCCGGCATGACTAGATGCCAAGGTGCACGGAACACTGTTACCTTCCCACCGAAGTGGTACCTATTTATCTACTTGCAATTGCTTGCTTTCGAACTGCTAGGTTGGCTGGAGCTGGGGCCAGAGACGGGAGCTCACTCCATCATGCGGCACACTCGGGTCTCGAGCTGCTGAACGAACGACCTTCCTGCCTGCCGCTCAGCATCTTAACCACTTGAGCCACCGCAGCCCTTATGACAGACATACAGCGACGTAATAGCAAATCAAATGCACTCAGAAAAGAACCCCCCCCCCCAGAAGCAACAGGGACACACAAGCAGCGAAAAGGGGAGTGCGGAAGAGTCCGTACTTTCCACTGTACATTGTGGAGGGAAGACGGGCAGTGGTGGGCAGGCTGTCTTTCAGCAGGGATCCTGCTCTCCGCTACTGATTATCACCAGGAGCCCCACGCTCACGGCAAACCAAGGATCCCCAACCTTGGGTACCCTTGGGCCCCTTTGGAATTCTGACATGGAGCGATGGGCACAATCACAAAGCGGATGCTGCAGAAGGTGCACACACACACACACACACACACACACACACAGAAAGCGCAGGGAAGAAGAGAGATAGTTTAAACAATACAGTGGGAAAGAGAAGTGAGAGATAAGATAAAACTAACTCTGTGATGTCAGCTGCTGCTGAAGCAGTGTTATTTTAATCTGCCCAGCCCATCAGATCTTCAATGGCCCATCAGAAGCTACACTGAGCAAGAGCCCCAACCGGCCCCTCCCACTTTCTAAAAAAATTGTGGTGCCAGCCGGTGTTGGCGGGTTCTATGGCACCCACCACGTTGGGGACCCCCTGCTGTAAACCATACAGAACTGAATCTCTGTCAGTGTTTGTTTCTTTAGTTGAGCCATCCACATCCTGGCCCCACGGGTGGACCTCCTGATGGCACCTGGTATTTTTGGCCACTGTGTGACAGAGTGCTGGACTGGATGGGCCATTGGCCTGATCCAACATGGGCTTCTCTTATGTCTGGGGCAAGTGATGCTCTGTCTTCTTGGTGCTTGGGGTGGGGGGCAACAGTGGGAGGGCGTCTAGTGTCCTGGCCCCACTGGTGGACCTCCTGATGGCCCCTGGTACTTTTGGCCACTGTGTGACAGAGTGTTGGACTGGATGGGCCATTGGCCTGATCCAACATGGGCTTCTCTTATGTTCTTATGTTCTTATATTGTGCCCTGTCCCTTTTCTCTATGTTTCTGCTGTCTGTTTCTTGAGGTTCCCCTCGCTTCTTACACCAGAAGAGCTTTGGGAGTTGTGTCAAGCATTCCTCCTAGGAGGGCACAGCTCTGG